AGCTAGAAGCTCTTCACTTTTGCTCAATATCTACATTTGTGCTTCTCCCCTAATATGACTCGCTGCATGTGATAGCGTCTCAATCCACGCTCTGCTTATCACCTTCCCCTTCATTTCCCTGAGGCTTTCCATCTTATGGGCCAAATTTATACCCTCGCGGTAATTGATTGAATGAATCGGATGAAGCTCATTGTAAATTAGTGAAGGCTTTATTCGAAGGTCATAGTGCCAAATGATTAGCTCAGACTAGTGGTATCAAAATGTTAGTTGCCAATGGCGGATTCAGAAATTCCTGGGTCTGTCTCGATCATCTGATTTGGTTTTCTTGTGTCATGTTGAAGTTATTGTGTGCTTCTTACAATAAGGACGTCCCATTTCTAAGTCTGAATTAACTGTCATAATTTGACGTGTCGCTTGAAAACAAACCTTCCCCTCATCGGCTTCTCACATGCTCAGCAAAGTTCTCCGGCACTATCTCAAGTATAGGCCTGTATGGGAAGGTACTCGGATAGTATCTAACTTATCTTGTGAGAAAAAGAAAAAGGAAAAGTGTAATTTAGAAGATTGAACCCTTTTTCAAATCTTACTCAAAAGAAGTGAGGATTGAGATTCTACTTAAGCTGAATTTACATCTTAAAAAATTCATTTGAGAGAAAAACACATTAGCATATTAAAATTTGAGTGGTTAATATGCATTCTTCTTATTTTTGTTTTCCGTTTTTCTCTTTAGTTCCCTTTTCTCCCTTCTTCTCCTTCTTCCCTGTCCTGACAGCACCGTGAACAAAGCACAGTTGCCGACGGCCACCATCCGTTGCCACTTCAGGCGTCGCCACACCACCCATCAGGGCCTCTGCTATGTTCATCCCTTCTCTCCCTCCCTTCTCTCTCTCTCTCTCTGTTGTGATTTGAGGTCACCTAAGTCCTGTGACCTCCTCCTTGAGAGGCTAAGAGCAATTCACATTCCGCGGACAAGAGGGCGGGAAGCCTCTTCAGGATGGCGGTGCAATAGGAAGCAATGACGCTAGCAGCGAACGACGGCAGTTTTTAGTAGGAAGGAAGAGAGCGGAGAGAGTTCTGGAGATTAGGGATGGCTATGGAAAACTAGCAATTTAGAAAATATTTTTCTAACTTTGTCCGTTCTTATTATTTAGAAAAATGAGCCAATGAAAAATATTTTCATTCATTAACAATTATCTATCACTGAAGAATTTGTGTAAGTTTTTCTAAAGTGTAAGGGTGTGTGTAGGTGTTTGGCCTCACGCAAAAAACATTTAAACACTTTTTTTTGGGCATTTGATCCTTCAATTGATAAGAAATCAAGGAAATGATTCCACACTTGAAATTATGCAATTTCATTTATCTACAAAATAGAAATATTCTTCTTTAGAAATGATGATCTCACAAAAGAGAAAACACAAATCTTTCCCCACTTGTTTCAACTATATATATTGATTGGACTAATTTGCTCTTATTGCTCATCCATAAACCCCATGAGGATTCTTGATATGTATAAACACAGTAATATCATCTACCCAATTGGGTAGGTGATCAAAGAAGTCCAGGTTGCCTTTTTTGCTTCAACCATTTCAAAGTAGCAGGATTTACTTATATGTAATCATCATAATTTTTTATTTTGAGGAACGCTATAATTTGTCAGTTTTACTTTAAATTATACATAAGTTATTCTAAATGAACTAAAAACCATAATGTAAAATATATTTTCGAAATATTTAAAATTATCAGCTTTATTTTATATTAAAACTAAGTAAATTTCTTTATTAGGTACAATTTATTCACTTAAATAAGAAATACTTTAAATTTTAAATAACTTTATATTAACAATATATTCTTTATTTATTTTTTACATTTTAATTAAATAATATATGTCTGTCTAACATTTTTTAATTTTATATTGGCAAATTTTTTCCATTAAGAACGTGATTATACGTTATTCATTACTTACTTAATCAAATAAGCTATACTTCAAATTAGAAACACTTTTAATATTTTTTTTATCATAATATATAAAATTTTGAAATTTATTTAGGGTTAAGTGTAATTTATTCATTCAATGAAGTAAGCTCTACGCAAATTATGAATGATCTACTTATAAATTAGATATGATATCACTGTTTTTACTTTTCATATTAATTTAATTAATATCTATTAGATGTCCTTGAGTTTATTGCCATAATTTTCTTTTCAATATAAGTTACATAAGTGGTAAAAAAATAAGTTCCATAATTTAGGAGTATTTTTGAAGATATTTTCTCTTTACCGGTTTAAACTCAATAAGAAATAGTAGTATGGAAATGACAAATAACCTAAAGCTTATTGTTTTATGTGTACCGCACAACAATGGCACGCGTGAAGTCCAGGGCGACGTGGCAAGGATAAACAAAAATATTCTGTCAATTTCGACTTTAACTACGTAACTTTTTTCGACTGTATGATATATAACGCCGTGGTAAATTGATCCTTTCCGGTAGTTTAGCTTTACCATGGTGAATTGAGCAACTTTCTTGAGGATCATAAGATTTTAATTGTGTAACTCGCTGATAAAAGAAGCTATAATATTGCACCGTTAAGAATAATTAGTTGACTGGTTGTCTAGTAAAATTCAATGAATCCAGTTGTTGATAAAAACAAGATACTTAGAATGAAAAGGAGAGTGAAGCTAAGCTTTTGGCAACAACCGAAAGAAGCTGGCAATGATTGAAATTGATTCAGTTAAAATCAATCAAAACAGTTGTGTTTCCCCTATTCTAACATCTTCCTCCTGATTTCCATTATCATCTCCATTATGATCATTTTCTCTACCTTGTCTGACCTGACAACTTTGCTTCGCTTCGATATCTTGACGCAATCATTATGGGCCGTGCAAAGAGAATTGCCGACCCCTTGAATTGTGAGACCTCATGTCTTTATATAGTGAAAACCTAGATTTATTCTCAATTAGCCAGGCTTAATTTAGGCCTTGATAAAGTGAGGGCTCTAATGACATTAGGGCTTTTATCAATTAAACTTTAATGGGCTGAATTAGACTCAATTAAGCTCAATGAGGTCCCTCCTGCTTTATGAAATGCGGCCATTGTGATCCTATGAAATTGCCATCTCCTGTGACTCAGTCCAATCCATTTAAGTTCAAAACCATTTACCACCAGTCTGATTAAAATGCAATGAATTTATTAATATGCTGAATGCTCCTAAAAATATTGTTTAGGGGTTGAAGTTGGTTCCTGATTTTCTATACAATGAACAATTAAATGGATCGCCAAAATTTAGGTCTCAAGAAATAGACCGACTCTGACAATAAAAAAAGGAAATTAGAGAAAAAAAGAAATTTTTTTTTATAAATTTCCTCATTGAGCTATTTGCTTAAATTATAAATACAAAGATTTTTGAATAATGCTTAGCTAACGGTGTCCTTAGCTTGGAAACGATACGGTCAAATCTCAGCCAAGCATTTTCCATCTTCAAAATGGGAGACTGGTGAAATGTTAACACTTTTCCTATTTTATATATAAAAATGCATTTTCCATGTAAAAAAAGCCATAAGAAGATGTCGATTTTCTTGTCTTATTCGAAGAAACAAATCAAAGTGATAATATTCAAACAAAAAGAAATATATGAAAAACTCAGTTGCAACTTTTAAAATAGTGAATATTATTCTCTGGCCAAAGAAAAAGATTAGGTGGCTATTGTTCCCAAATTAAAAAAAAAACTTAACAACCCAAAAAAATATTAATATAATTATCTTGTATACTTTGAACTTCCAATTCTTGTAGAATTTTGTAATCGAATAAGTCATAAGCGTGGAGAAAGGTTCGTTAATTTCTGCTTCCTTGTTTGCAAGAAAGTAAGAGGTATTCATTGTCGTTGAAAGGAATGAGAATCATTTCATTACGCAAATATTTCGTTATTAGCTGTTTCAAGTGTTTTTTCATCTTTTAAATTTAATAAATCTATATAATGACATTAACGATTTCTTTTTCATAAGTGACAATATTTTCTACTTGTAATTATTTATATTTTGGTATCTCATTAATTTTTTGTTATGACTATTGTGAAATTATAACGAAATTAAAACTGATAAGAATAAAGAACGCATAGATTTACGGGGAAAACCTTTGCGGAAAAAATCACAGGGAGAGGAAAAACAAAATCTACTATAGAAATTCGAGGATTACAAAAAGTGGCTAAAAAATTAAAGACTCTTTTTGTCTCAACTTCTTAACCTAATAACTTGAAAAATAATAATATTTATACTGCTCTCAAGTCCTAACGTTGGCCCGAGCCCAAAATTTAAGACACACTGAACATTTTTTCTTTCTTCATATTCAAGAAAATCGATTCTATGGGCCTTCTCATGATTTTGTTTCTTAATCTGAGCTTGCAATAAGGAAATGTAGAAATCCAAAAAAAAAAAAAAACATTGAGTCAAGAATTGAAACCAATTTCCTTAAAAAAAAATTTGTGGGTGTCCTTTGACCGCCAGTCGTTCTGCAGTGGACGGTCAGGCCAGCTGCACCCAAGATTTTTCATTGCTTATTTAGGGAGATAATATTATATTTGTGCAACCGAGAAAGTAAATCCAGGTGTATATATCTGCAATTAATGTGGCCATATCCAAAATTTCCCCACAAGCAAAATCCATGCATTAATAATTGCACCACCAAGAAGTATAGTTATATAAGAGAAGGATATCAAAACTCATTCGAAGAAAATTATATTATGCTGATGGCTACTACAATGACATCATCATATTTCTTTTTCCTTTTACTCGGCATTATCATTTCGTCGTACCCAGGTAATGTCGCTTCGTCCAAGACCACCCCAATTAAACCTCGGGGATTAGCCATCAAGCTCATCCACCATGATTCTATTCAATCTCCATATTACAATCCGAAGGCCACCATCTTCGAGCGAGCTGAACGTGCCATTAATGGTTCGCTCGCCCGCATCCGCTCCTTGAGCAAAATAATTTGCTACTCCAAATGATGACGACGTTCGCGTCGGTCTCATCCCTGCCATTGGCCTACACGGTTTCCTTGCCAATATATCCATTGGAACGCCGCCGGTGCCACAACTCGTGCAAATCGACACGGGAAGTGACCTCTTTTGGTTTCAGTGCCTGCCCTGCATTACTTGCTTCAAACAATCTTCTCCTCTTTTCGATCCCGCCAAATCATCGACATACTCCAATATTCGTTGCGGTTCCCAAGCTTGTGTACAGTCTGGTGACAAGTGCGATCCTAATAATGAGTATTGCATTTACGAGAGGTCGTATTTTGACAAATCCACCTCAGCCGGTAACCTCGCCTCCGAACAAGTGACCTTTGAGACATCCGATGAGGGCACGGTAAAGGTGCAAATTGAGGTGTTCGGATGCGGCCACGTAAATAAAGACGCTACGGAAGGGCAAGAAAGCGGGTTATTAGGACTAGGCGTTGGTGATGGTAATTTGCCAAATCTGGTTAAACAATTAGGCTCCAAATTTTCTTACTGCATCGGCAACATAAACGACCCGCAGTATCAATACAATGAACTCAGCTTGGGGAACGGGGCGATCATGGAAGGTGATTCTACGACTTTGGAGACTTACAGGGGTTTATACTATTTGGACGTCCAAGGTATTAGCGTCGGAGAGAAGAAGCTACAGATCGACCCCTTGGTATTCAAAAGAGGGCTTATGGATCAAGGAGGAGTGATTATAGACTCGGGAACCACGCTCGCGCCCCTGAAGGAAGAGGTGTACGTTCCACTGCAAAATGAGGTTGAGAGTTTGATGGCAGGAAAGCTGGAGAGGGTGAGTAATCCCGAGTTCTTTTGCTACGCAGGGTACGTGGAGAGAGATTTGACGGGATTTCCGGTCGTCACCTTGCAATTCTCGGGCGGCGCGCAACTCGGCTTAGACACCAACAGCATGTTTTTCCAGTTAACGGCGGATGTCTTGTGCATGGCCATCATTAAATCATCACCTGATATGAACGGTTTATCCATTATTGGAGTGCTGGCACAACAGTCCTATAATATAGGGTATGACATCAAACAGGGCAAGATTTTCTTCCAAAGGATTGAGTGCAGTGCTCTCCAATCACTTGTATGATCACATACGATTAAAAATATTCTAGCGATACGGTATCGATGTATTTGATATTTTCTTGAGTAAAAATAAGAACGGGGATAGGAATGACTTTTTTGTGCAAGGAGTTACTTTGAGAGCCATTTCTCCAAAGAAGATATTTGAGTTCAGATTTATGTTTAACCGAGAGACTTTATAAAATCCCTGAGTTGCATCAATGAACGTCCGAGTCTAGATTTGATTGAGTTTAGTGTCTTCGCTGGCTTCATTTGTCTATTTCTATTACATAAGCTGTAGTCGATTTCTGTTTGTCCTCGTTAGAAGCAAATCTGGTAATTGCTCACTCCACAGTTTATTTCTATTACATAAGCTGTAGTCGATTTCTGTTTGTCCTCGTTAGAAGCAAATTTGGTAATTGCTTAGTCCACAGTTTATATGAGACGAGCTTGAATTTGAATATTGATGAACTTGGCCGGGAAACATCTGAACAAAATTGGATCCATCCTGATGGCGTTAACGCTTGTATGCTTTGGATTTGGTTGAGAAGCATTTGTAGTTGATATGATCGTGATGAGATTTGATGAGATTCTGTGTTTGTATGTAAAACATGGTTTGGTAGTGAGGAAAATAAGACTTAGATTTATGAACGGAATTCATTGATTCATTGATTGACTCACTGGTTGAGGAATGTATCTGCATCTTCAAAAGAGAAACATGTAAGGGTACAACAGATGGGGACAGAGAATAGTGAAATAGTGAAATGTGTGACGGTTGATTGCGCTTTCTAAGCTAGTTGTTTGTCATGGTGTTGTTTGTTTTTTTTTATTATTATTTTAGCGCTAAACCATTCTCTGTTTTTTTAACGTGATATGGTGTTGCTGGTGCAAACAATAACTTGGTCATGCTTGGTGGGGAACTGACTTCTGATTATGATCCTCTTTGGCCTTGAGATACTTGAATTAACATTTCAGGTGTGTTTGTTTGAGTAAAAGTGTTTTCCGAAAATTAATTTTCCTGACTTTTCGCCGAAAATGACTAGTCATCCGAAAATACTTTTCGATCAACAAAAATGTTCCCATATAAAATTAGGAAGGTAAATTCCTAAATCTAAAAAAGTCAAAACACTATCCGAAATTGTTTCTCTTTCCCGAGTTGACTCAAAACCGACTCGTCTCTCTCTTCTCTCAGCAGCAGAACCTCGTGCTTTGCCACCGCCTCCTTGCAACTCCCACTTCGGACAATTATAATTTTGGATGACAATTTTGCTTCTGTTGTTATGGTTGGTAATCGACGATGGTCTATTGTGGTATTCTGCCTGAATTTAATTAAAAGAGGAATTTAGCATGTTCATGACAGTGTTGTCGTGTAATTGAACTTTCTTGAAAAGAGGTGTCAACCGATGGCAGTTAGTTATATTGGAGCTTGAGTACATAAGTTACATGGAGAGTTTTCTTTCTGGAAAGATGTGTACTAATTTGACTGGATATACATTGGTCTTGTGCATCTTTACTTGACTTGGGTACCTAGTCTAGGTTCCTTAAACAAGTACTCCACAATGCTAAAATTTCACCTGCACATATGGAAATTTTTCTGATTTGTAAAACTGCAATGGAATTGGGTCTTGGCAAATCTTTTTTTCTTACTTAATGCGTAGTTGAATATTCGATCCCACGTGTCAACTTAATGATTTCGATTATCGGGGGTTATGATTTTGAATCTGGGGTTGATTAATCCTTAGAAAGTGCAGTGGTGGTTGACAGACTTCAAATTACCTGTGGAACGTAGGTTGTCACGGGGGGAAGATCACTGTATGCAAATATTCAGAAATTTATCCAGTTTCAGCTTACAGTTAATGTTGCAGCTCTTATTATAAACGTTGTTGCTGCTGTTTCCTCGTGTGATGTTCCACTGAATGCAGTGCAGGTACTCTCTCTCTCGGTCTCTCTCCCTCTCTCTTTGGTTCAGACCTCCGCATGATATTTGCTTTCTTTAGTTCTGAACTTTTCTCTTTGCTTGCAGCTTCTCCGGGTTAATCTTATCATGGACACCCTTGGAGCATTAGCACTGTCTACCGAGCCTTAATCTTATCATGGACACCCTTGGAGCATTAGCACTGTCTACCGAGCCTCCAACTGACCACCTTTTGCATAGGCCTCCAGTCAGTAGGAGATGAGAGTAACTGGCTTTTATTGGGTGCAATATAATTTTGGTCACAAGCTTGGAGATCATGTTTTTATGGTCAACTCAAATTCCCTGTTTCTTTGGATCTGTATCGCAATTTATTCACTTGCTTGAACCTGTTGTTTATCCTTACTCTTTGACTATGCCCTGACTGGGTGATTTTCTCAATTGCAGAGAACCTCTTACTACAAATATCATGTGGAGGAATTTATGGATACAGGTATGGCCACTAACGCTTTACACGAAAGAGTTTTTGCTGGCTTTTTTCTCCTAACAATGTAGAGTTTGGATCTTTAGGCTGCCTATTAAGTGAGTGTCCTGCTTGTCCTCAGTTTCCGAGGTAGAAGCTTACTGAATTTGAAGTATGATACTAGCGATCGTGCTAACAAAGTGAAGACCACTGTTCAGATAATAGTAACACTGACTTGACACATAAGTCGATCAGTAAGCTGTTTACATTCAATTCTTTCAAACATCTTCCCTTGAGCAATGTCGTACCCGAAATTGTGATGTTGTTGAGCTTGTTGTTCCTGATGGTGGATCGAGTTTCCACTTTTGGCCGTGGGACTGAGGAATGCCACACCATATTTGACATGAACGAGAACCTTACGCGAAGAACAACCTTGTTCGACATAAATGAGCAGCACTCGCCCAATCTTTTTCAACCCCTTGATCTTGATGCGGCTTAGTTTTTGCCGTTTGCGCCATCTGATCGATAACTCTTCTCAGTATGGAAATGGCTCAAAGAAGAAGCGATTGACTAAGCAGAGAGTGTGCCTAGTTTTGGACTCTCCCTTTCCATTTTTAACCGATCCTCTCCTTTCTATTTTCGCAGAGGGCTCCTCTGGCTTTGCTTCAGACATTTACAATGAACACTTGTTCAAATCTTCAACACCTTGATCTTGACCCTGAAACTCGCCTCGTCGCCCACAATGAATAGACAGACAAGAAAAAGAGAAAAGTAAAAAAAAGCGAGGCTCTTGTAAACTATTGAAACCATAGACATTGATCACCCTTTCGAGCTACACTCTAATACCTTCTTATCAAGAACATCAAACAAGCGGTTCTCCTCCATTGAAAGATGAAATACGTGAAACTTCCGTGCACATTCCGTGCATGGACCGTGCACATTTTCTAGAAGGGTTATTGATTAAGGTTTAAAGGGGTTTTTCCATCTAAATGTCTAATTTGGACTTAGATTAGGATTATGATTTCCAAGACTTATCTTGAGATTAAGGTGAAGCTTCAAGAAAAAAAAAACAAGTAAAAAGAGCGAGGGTTTCATAGACGGTGATCACCGTTTTGAGGGACACTCTAATACCTCCTTATCAAGAACATCAAACAAGCGGCCCACAAGCAGCCCTTGGAAATTGCTTTTCTCCGGTTAGTAGTTCGACAAGGACCACTCCGAAGCTATATATAGGGTTCCGCCTACCATTGCAGTCAAGTGAGTTTGGTAATTGACTTGGAAGCTCCAAAATCTGCCACTTTGACTCGATATTTTTTGTCCAAAAGTATATTCGATGACTAATGAATATAAAGAGCATTTAGGACTCCATTGTTAAGCAATATGGGACAATACTTCAACACCCCCTCTCACGTGCAACTTCACGTGCAATTACGTGCAAGCTCCGCCACTTTGGCTCTACATTCTTTGTCCAAAAGTATATCCGACGACTTGATATCACAGTGATAAACGGGTATGGCTGCAGCAAAATGAAAATATGAAACAGCCCCAGCCACTTTATTGGCAATTCTTAACTGCAAAGAAACGAAAACTACAAATTATATTAAAAAAAAATTATGCAAGTCAATGCCCGTTGCCCACACATAAGTCAGCCGGCCGGCATCCACGTCGGCGATTTTCTGCCCAAAATTGGCCTGATTGGCTAAATTGACAATTTGTCAAAAGGTTTAGGACTAAATTTGTCAAATTGAAATATTTATAACTGAATTGACGCAATTATAATAAGTTTATGACTTTTTTAATAATTTCACCATTTTGCAATCAATTATGTTGAGAGCTTGTTTACAAGTGATTTGAAGACCTGAGAAAGCAAAGGTCATAATCTATAGAGCGTGGCTTGGGAAAAAGATTAATATATACCGAAGAGAAATGAGAAGATAAAGTCAATAGCCTCGCCCAGAGTTGTATAGTTGTTTTGCCTGAGCGTTACCTCTCATCTTGTCAGAGTAAGTGTAATTACCTCACTTTCTGTGCTCGAGTGTTCCCCGCTCACTCACTTTCTGGACGAGTAAGAGGTATTAATTTCAGTTTCTCCATCTCTAGCCTACTTAGTCACTATACTTTGGAAATTTCTATGCTCGTCCATCACCGCCTGCACCTCATGCGCTCTTTGCTTGGCTGGACGAGCGCCCAGCCATCGGTGAGGCTTGCAAAGCGACCCCACTCTCGTACTCCCTCTCTCCTCTCTTCCATCAATGGTGCCGCCCAAGGCTGGCGACGACGGTCTCTCTATTATTCATTCATTGCTTTTTTGTGTAAGGCAAAATATAAGACTAAACTTTTTATTTGATATTATATTTTTCGCAACATTCCATTGGCCACCGCATCCTACAAAGCGTTCTCGATTATTGTTCTAACATATTAGGAACTTCGCCTGAATTTCGAAGAAGGATTCAAATCGTGCTGCCTTGTGTTGGATCCACCAAAAATACTAATGATTTATGTCAATGTGGCTTTGATCGTGTTTTTCTCCGAGGTGATTGGAATCGTGCAGGTGAAATCAATGTCCTATAATCTTATAAGAAAACCTTCAGGAAATTTATCGAGTGATTAAGTGCTTGTTCTAATGCAGCAGATCAATCGAGATCAGTAATAT